AACACTGTATTTTTAAGAATTTTACCAAAATCAAATAATAATCCAGTAAATTCATCATTAATTGTACATATTTATATATGTATTCTATTTGTTCTAGATAGATTTTATATATATATATAAATACTTATTTCTTACAGGTTATCTTAGCCTTTGGTAACTACATGAATGGAGCAAGGAGAGGACCAGCATATGGTTTTAAACTGCAGAGTTTGGATTCAGTAAGTTTCAATTTCTGGAATATTTTAGTGTGAACAGTTACGTGCAAGAAATTAAAATGCATCAATCCAAAAAATATTTCCGAAAGAAAATAAATTAGAATGACTAATTAGATAGACTCACTTTATTGGTTCAGTAAATTGTTGAATTTTGAAAGTCTAAATATCAGAAATTCATAACATTTTTATCAAATATGATATAATTTGATTTACACAAGCTTTATTTATGTTTGTATATAGTGAAGTTGGCTTATTTTGAATTATACAAAGTATTGTGTAGGATATAGTTTCACTAATTGTAAGCTTATGTTAAAGTAACACACTGAGCTTATTGTACGTAATAGTGTGACTTATCAAGACGTCTGCATCTTAATTTATTTAAACCACGGATTTATACAATTTTGTATCCTCAGTTAGGAGATGCAAAGTCAGCAAACAGAAAGATTTCCCTGCTACACTACATAGTGGACACTATCCAGTATCACTTTCCCGATGCTATCAACATAGAATCAGAACTACGATTTGTAGAGAAAGCTGCAGGAGGTAAGCTTTCTTCGCTTCAATCTTTCCGTCGAATTTCATGACATAAATTATTTATTTCAACTTATTCTAGCAAACACAAATAATTGAAGTAGTGAGAAGACCAGTGTTATAATATATATAGATTTACTAACAAAAGAATAATAAAACAGGTATTTCTCAAATGTTTAATTGTGATAGTACAGTGGTTTTTCTTTGCCTAGGTTAAGTAAACATACCTTTAAGAAGTGAATCAAACTGTAACTGTAAGTTGCGAATCCTGTTGACCAGTTACACTCTAATTAAGTAGTAGTAGAGTAAGCAGCTGTTGTTATTTTATCAGCTGATTGTTTGCAGATTTGAAGTTAGTCAGTAATCTTACATATGTTTAGTTCGTAATTTACCTATCCGTGCCCAGTTTTATAGATATATTGATAGCTGGCTATGATAAATAACGTAATATGTCTGGCCAATAGAGTTTCACTAGTTTATTAAACCACTAACTGAATCAACATATATATACAATATTTTCTTGGAATATTACACTGAAAAAGTGTTAGTAAGATAAAACACTTGACATATTTAAAAAGTAGAAACAGACAACCACCTAATAATCTACATTTGAGTAGAAAAAGTTTTAAACTCCTAATGTTTTTTTAAGCTGTGGGGGAGTTATAATGGGATGGTTAATCCCACTTTTCCTTTTGTGTCCCATAGTCCTACTATTCTCACTGTTAAGTATGACAAAAGATGATGTATCAACATTGTCAATTCCATTAACAATCTTAAACACCTCAATCAGATCCCCTCTTACTCTTCTTTTTTTGAGAGAAAACAATTTCAGAGATCTTAACCTCTCCATCCCAGGCACCATTCTAGTAACCCTCCTCTGAACCCTTTCCAACAATTCAATATCTTTCCTAAGGTAAGGAGCCCAATAGTGAACACAATACTCCAAATGTTGCCTAGCCAGTGACCTATAAAATGAAATTATAACCTCTTTAGACTTATATTCAATATTTCTGTAGATGCAACCTAAAATCCTATTTGTCCTATCACTAGCAACAGCAAATTGCTTGGATGGCTTAAGAGACTGATCAACCATTACACCAAGATCCCTTTCTTTCATGACACTGTTAAGATTAATCCCATCCAAATTATACATGTAATTCAAATTATGATAACCCACATGGATTACCTTTCATTTATTATAATTAAAAGCCAATCTTGTAATTTATTTGCCCAACTCACCAAATGATCTAAATCCTTTTGTAAAGCAGCAGTATCCCCTTCACAGCTAGCAACACCCAAGACCTTAATATCATCAGAAAATTTATGTAATTTATTGTCTATTCTTTCATCTATGTCATTGATGTAAATCAAAAAGAGCAAAGGTCCTAAGACAGAACCCTGAGGTACCCCACTTGTGACATTAATCCAGTTTGACTGAACTTCATTTGTAACAACCCTCTGCTTTCTTCCATTCAACCACTCTTCTATCCAATTAGCTAACTTATCCCCCACACCTATAGAGATCTCTTTTTCTTTTTAGAAGCCTTTAATATGGCACTTTGTCAAATGCTTTCTGAAAATCCAATACACCAAATCTACACCCTTACCCTCATCTACATAAACAATAACCGTTTCAAAGAATGTCAAAAGATTTGTAATGCAAGATTTTCCTTTAGTGAAACCATGTTGACTATCCAATAAAATTATGAACTGTGTTAAATGACTTTGTAAAGTACCTTTTATCAGACTTTCCAAAACTTTTCCCACAACTTATGTAAGACTAATGGATCTATACTTACTGGGACAATTTTTATTACCTCCTCATGAAAAGAGGAGTGAAATTAGCTAATTTCCAATCTTATGGCACCTGCCAACTATACAAGGACTTACAAAAAATTGTAGTAAGCGGCTCATATATCCAATCCTTAACCTCCTTCAAAACCCTTGGGGAGTTATCTGGCCTAGGAGGCATGCGATTCTTTAAACTTCCCAATTTTTTGTTAACAAGCTTAGAATTAATGCAGTCATCTCATTTAACCTTGTTTCCTTCTATCAACTGTTCAAGATGAGGGAATCTGCTTAAATCTTCATTGGTAAAAACTGAAGAAAAAACAGAATTTAATAACCCAGCCATCTTGTAATCATCAGATACAAGCCTTCTTTTATCATCCTTCTGTAAGAAGGTAAGAATTGATTGCATTATAACTCTGATAAATAAACAAATAATATATACATTTATCTATTGTTTTTTTTAGCTTTTTGTGTAATTGTGTTGTTTTTGGCAGTAATACGAACAGTGCAGCCAATCTCATTGATCAACCAAACAGGAAGTACGAAAGCACGTTTCTGAAATGTCTTACCTTCCTAACTGAACATATTCTATTATATTCCATGTGGTTTTACTGTTATCAATTGAAATTCATATTTATTGAAACTAATTTATATGAAGAACAGTGCCATGAAACAATACTGGTTTCTACTTCACGTATTTTAAATAATACAATATGTTTACAATTATTATGTGGCCTCAGTAAGGTCTTTATCCAGACATTTCTATTAAATGTTACTATATATCTCCAATCAGGTCGATTTTTTTATTTTAATTATAACAACATTTTTCAGGAACCATTTTCAAATGCAAGTTGAACTGTGTTATTAATAAAAATCAGGACTAACTGTTTTTTCTTGTTTTTTATTATATTGAAAGTTTTTCTTTACATTTATGAATGCATGCAAGAAGTTTTGGATTGATATATATTATGTTTTATTGTAGCTTCTCTAGAGAACATTCTGACAGATGTTAACGAGTTAGAGAAAGGACTGGAGCTGTGTAAAAAAGAATTGTCTCTTCGTGGTGATTCAAAGGATGCGGCCATTCTAAGAGAATTCTTCACAACTAATGAAGAAAAGTTAAAAAGATTAAAAGCCAACACCAAAACAGCACAAGTCAGTGTTATCTTTAAATATAACTTGGGTTTTATATTATTAATTTCACCTACAAGTATACAACAGAAAAAAGATGTTCTGCTTACCAGTAGTTACATACATGTGTCACCTTCCAATTTCAATCAGCATATCAAGCCCTAATACTGCAAGTATGATTGATGGTTTTGCACTTATTCTTGTAATATCAAACATATTAAGGAGCATTCCGTTAAATTACCAATCTTATATTGATGTTGAATGTAATATAATATGATTTTGAAACAAGATGTACCATTTCCTAACTTTGAAGAATAAAACTTGTAAATCTTATTGTACCTTTGATGAAATATTGTTTCCTCTGGAATAAATAGTTTTTAATATATAATGAATCAAGATATGTGGTTTCCATTATGACAGCATTATCAAATAGATATTACTTTATCCAAGACAAGTCATTTTTTTTACTTACCGGCATGATAAGTTGGATATTTTCATCAAAGCTTGCAATATAACTCATGATGTTAAGTTTCTGGGACAACCTTTCGACTTTGCTTAGCTACAAAAATAACCATAGTATACACTGTTTTTTATCTGATTATAAGAACTTGCAGAGATGTCCAGTCCTAACATTAATCTAGATCTTCAACTTTCCATATCTTGGAAACATTCATGAATTTGTTTTTCCCTAGTGGCTTAGCAGTAAGTCTGAGGGCTCATTATGCTAAAAAACATGTTTTTGATACAGGTGATAGGTGTAACACGAATAGGCCATTTCTGTAGCTTTGCACTTAACAACAGGCAGAAATAAATTTCTTGGAAGAACTTGGAATTTTTACCTGGTAAATTGCTAATTTACTTGTGAAATGTTATATTTATCTTAATTGTGCTGAATATAGTGAACCAATCGCAGAACATGCTCACCATTTTAGCAGTGGGGGTATTATGATGTGATGGTCAGTCCCACTGTTTGTTGGTAAAATAGTAGCCCAAGTGTTTGCCAGAAGGTGGTGTTGACTAGTTGCCTTCCCTCTTGCCTGTCACTTCAAAACTGGAACGGCTAGTGCAGACACTCTTTGAGTAGCTTTATATGATAAATCAATAAACACTGTAGTGAACATAAATAACATCGGTAGCAATTTTAAATCTCTGTTTATTACTTTATGTTAACCTATATGATAGGTTTTTCTAACGAACAAAATGAGCTGAACGAAAATTGTAGTTAACTTGTTTATTTTTTGTAGTATTTTCCTGTTCCGTTTATAACAATGTCATAACATATTTAATTGCAATGTTGTATTTTTAATAATTAGAATTATTTTATTCTTGCAGTGGAACTTGAAACACAGTTAGAATATATTACCAAAGAGAAAAACGAACTGCAGGTAGGAATTTGATTTTTTACGTTGTTTATAAGGATATGAGCTTTAACATTTAAAAAACAACAAGAAAGAGTAGGTTACTGTAGTGCTCAACACAAGTTTGCAGCTGTGTACATATGTATTATCATGTTAATCTTTTAGTGATTATTTTAGAACTGTTTACTCACAAGTGCATATTAGTTCGGATTCTTTTCAAAAGTTGACGTCAATTTAAGGATATGAACTGACCTTAAAGTTCACTGGGAAACATTTCTTTGAACTTGGCCTTAAATGTCAAATCAGATGCCAAAACTGAAGCATTTTAATGCTATTTAATCATCTAAAGTTGAAAAATTTCAAACTTGTTAACAATTATCGTTAGACTAGATCGTAAACACTGTTTAATATCTTTTTGTGACCAATGTTGACCCTATAAGGGTGTGGACAGTCACTAAGTAATATCTAGGGGACTAAAGTGCTACTGCAGTTGATAATCGACCAACTTAAGTATGAATGATCGGAACTTGTGTCATGATTAAAATCAAACAAATAATAAAAATACAACATTTCATATTTACACAATTTATTTGATATCAAAGAACTACTTGTTGAGAAATTCAAGCAATTTAACACAAGTTCTTTATCCTCTTAGAATAGTACTTGAAAGCCCCCCAGTGGCACGGCGGTATGTCTGCGGACTTACAATGCTAGAAACCGGGTTTCAATACCCGTGGTGGGTGGAGCACATTGTGTAGCTTTGTGCTTAATTACAAACAGAGTACTTGAAAACCTCTGGGCAACAACAAGTTAACAGAAAATGTTATAGACTTATGGGTTGAATAATCTTGGGCTAAAACTGTGAGTTGTAATTAGGCTTCAGCTCAATAAGCAATGAAAAATACTGCTTCTGAATTGTTTATCAAGTTTAAGCTTCAGTTTCTCAGTTCTCATCAATTCCTATATGGATCTTTGTTTTAAAGTGAATATCAGATGAATTATTATTACAAAATTTTCTTCTGAGCTCTAAAAGTATGAAACTTTTTTTTGATCAAAACATTTTAATTGAAATTACAAATCATTCAGCTTAGTTAAATGCACCTGTTAATCAAGATGATTAATATTGTTACGTCTCTGGTCGTTTGTTAATTTCCCGTAGAAATTCTTCCTGAGAAACTTTAGCGATACAAGTCCTTTCTTAAATAAAACTAGTTTATTCTTTCTCAATACAACTTTGCAATACACTTAATTTCCACAGTCAGTTTAACTTAAACACACGCTAGAATTCACAGCGATTCACGCACTTTACTTACAGCTTGACTCGATTATCTCTCTCTATATCTCTCTGTCTGCAATTCAATTATCTCCCCCATCACTTCATTTGCCAGCTTATATACTATAAGAGCGCGTGTCTAGCAAACACTCGAGCCTTCAGGAACGTTCAAGATACCCATTATGTGTTACCAGCGTCACATGACTTCTGCTGTCGTAACAATATTCTATTTAGAGCAAAACATCAAAAATTAAGAGTCACTTTTTTTATCATGCAGATGTCATATAAACTTTGATTATTTTTTAAAGGATAAATCTAAAGTGTAAGTATATAAAGGGATTTTTTACTGGTCAGAGATTAATTTGTAACTTAACTAATGCTAGAATGTTGAGAAAACATAAAATATTTCACATAGTATAAACACTAATTTAAAGAAATTACCACAAAAAATTTGATCCTTAAAGCATGTTACTGCAGAGTAGTAGAAACAAAAACATACTTGTAAAACTTAATCACTTTTAATTAAAATAAAAATAATAACCAAATTGAAATAATCTTAAAGCACATGGTATAAAAATTCACCGAGAGCATACTGGAATGTATTTTGTGTTATTGCCTGACAATTTCAATAAAATTATTAGTCACTATCTAGCTGTAGAATTGTAATGCTTAGGATAACAAAATATGTAATTTTAAGATATCAATAAGCATAAGTAAATATTTCAATCAACCCTAAAATTATACAGTTTATAAGTTCTGATCCTTAAAGGTGAATTCTGCTGAAAATGAGAATAGCAAATCATAATTAAGGAATTGCTTTCAGGAACTGCATCAACAAGCAGATGAAGAGCTTAACACTTTACGTCTAACAGTTTCAAAGAAGGATGAAGAGTCTCGTCAACGACAGAACATGTTGGAAACAAAAATCGAAGAACTTGAAATTCATCGGAAAACTCTACCCAAAGGTCAGATGTTTTTCATTGTGTATTTTTTTATTGCTTCAGGATATTGTTAGAATTCAGTAAAGATGAGAATCAAAATATGTTTACATGTATTAATATATGAAAGGATGGCAACAAAATGTTCATAAATCAATCTTTATGACTGTATGCAAAATTGCATGTCATAGTCTGTTCATTGTGATAGTCACTTATTTATTATTTGTGCAATCTAACCTGAATGCATTAATTAATCACTAGAGTCAGGAATCTCTGGTTCAGGAAAAGAAAAAATAACTGCTCCTATACCACCACCTCCTCCTCTGCCTCCACCTGTGGCTCCCCCACCCCCTCTAGGTAACAGAGGTCAGTCATTTGCAATTCCACCACCACCACCACCAGGACAGATGAATTCTCCTGCTGATGGTAAGATAGCATTTTGTGTTTGAATCTAAACGTTATAACACCGTTTGAATTTTGATGAGGCAGGAAACTCATGGCATATTTAAGTTTCTTGTTTTAATGTAAAAAAAAATGCTAGCTTTCAGTTGAATAATAATGAGAAATCTTTAAAGAGTGATAAGTCTTATAAAAGCAATTAACACATGCCATTTTGTTTGAAAAGTCTCTAATGTTTATCATTAATACCAAAAATGTCAAAATAATAATAAATTTTAATATGGCTTTGTATTGAATAGGTGTAGGTAAAAAATTAGAAGAAACATTTATTTGTTGCTTTTTATTAAGCATTTGGAGAAGTATAGTGTAGAAAAAGTTGTGATTTTGGACTTAAAACTGTGTGGGAAAGATAATTGACTGAAAAAGTTCTTATGAATATTTTAGGAAATGTGTAAAAAAATGCTAATCACTGGGAAAAAATAGAGAGACATAACACAATAAAATATTTACTTGCTGAAAATTTTGACAATTTTTATTTATAAAGGTTTTATTTAGGATTTAAAAATCAAAAACTAATCAGGAATATATTAAAAACTAAGACTTTCCTTGTTTAAGAAGTTTGTTTGTTTTGAATTTCACGCAAAGCTACATGAGGGCTATCTGTGCTAGCCATCTCTAATTTAGCAGTGTAAGACTAGAGGTAAGGCAGCTAGTCATCATCACCCACTGCCAACTCTTGGGCTACTATTTTACCAACAAATAGTGAGATTGACCATCATATTATAATGCCCCCACGGCTGAAAGGGTGAGCATGTTTGGTGTGACAAGGATTCTAACCCGCGACCCTCAGATTGTGAATTGAGCACCCTAACCACCTGGCCATGCTGGGCCATTTAAAAAGTTTTCTGAGTATTCAAAAATTCATTCATTTTCATTGTGAAGTCATTATGTCAGGGTTTTTCAAGCTTAATGCTAGTGGTTTAAAACTAACCATGAGTGAAATTCACATCTGTTGTTCTTTTAATAATTCTAGGTCTTATAACACTAAAACTTGGGGCTCAATCCCTACAGTGGGCATAACACAGATAGCCCATTGTACAGCTTTGCTCTTAAACAAAAACAATCGAATAGTAACTTTAATTATATAAGCCTATTGCATTCCACTTTTGTTATTCATAAAGCTAATTCATAATTTATTATTTGAATTTTATAAGGTGACAGACAGTTCCAATACATGTAGGGAAAATCTGGTAAAGGGTCCACATTCTAGTTAAACAAGACAATTTGAATTAAGTTGTTAACAAAACTTTTTTCTTAATTATTTCAATACTTAACAAACCTATCTTTTTTTCATGAATCTGTTACTGTATTTTGTTTCTCTATCGTAGCCATGACAATCAAGAGAAAATACCAGCCAAAGTACAAATTACCCACCCTTAACTGGATAGCACTTAAGCCTAACCAAGTGAAAGGGACAATATTTACTGAGCTGGATGAAGACAAGTTGTACAAGGTGAGTCTTGTGTTTATAAGTAGGTAAAGACATTGGGTAAAGATGAGTACAGTTCACATGACAAGTTTTGTAGAATTCCGAAACTGCTGATAGCGTAATGTAATCTATTCTGCAGTAAAATTTTTTTTAGAAAACTAATAAACTTGAATGAATCTTGTGATGAGTGTTGATCATTATTTTAATAAAGTGTTATTTCAAGGTGAGTTTCATGTTTCTTATGGATCTTGACTCTTAAGTTGTGACTTTATTGGTGTGTAATATGTATACATGTTTTCAAGAACCTGGACTGATGTTAACTGTATAATTTTGTTTACTTTTTTTTGTACAGCTTATCGACTTCTCTGATTTTGAGGAACATTTCAAACTGGGTCAGCAGGGTGGCTTTTCTGACCGTACAGAGGACATAAACTGCAGTAAACGTTTCAAGGTAGGTTTACGTAGGGAAGGAAAGACCATTTCAGGAACTTAGGAATGAAAGACAAACTGCAGCATGAAACACTGGAGGAAAGTTAAATTCGATGACAAGGAGCCCACTTTGAGACTAATAATGCTTGGAGATGGTTTAAATGGGTAGTGAAGAAAAACTTTAATATAAGTTTAACATAACTGATGATGACAGAACCTTGTCGAAATGTTGTACATTTGCTGTTATGTTAAACTTATATTAAAGTTTTTCTTTATTTCCCATTCAAGCCGTCTCCAAGCATTATTAATATTGTATTAGTAAAGCTTCAGGTGCATTTAAAGCCAGATAGAACAAAGTTAGTTTTTTTATTCCTCATTGACATCAGTAGAAGGTGAGAGTAAACAGGAGTATGGAAAAATTTGAAAACAATTGTTTTTTTCTTGTTGTTACATAGTTTGTTTGTTGTTAAGCACAAAGCTACACAATAGGCTATCTATGCTGTACGCACCATAGGTATGAAAACCACGTTTTTAGCATTATAAAGCCTTCTGACGTATAACTGAGCCACTGATGAGCATTATAACACTATCAATAACGTGTTGGCAAAAATATATGAAAGCAGAGTTCCTGGTTGATACACTTTTAGTAAAGGTTTGGTAACTAAAGGAGTTGAAATGAATTTTAAGACAGATGAGTTCCTGGTTGATACACATTTAGTAAAGGTTTGGTAACTGAAGGAGTTGAAATGAATTTTAAGACAGATGAGTTCCTGGTTGATACACTTTTAGTAAAGGTTTGGTAACTAAAGGAGTTGAAATGAATTTTAAGACAGATGAGTTCCTGGTTGATACACTTTTAGTAAAAGTTTGGTAACTAAAGGAGTTGAAATTATTTTTTGATTGGGTTTTTGAAATTACCCATGTAGAAAACATCTTAATTTTTTAATTGTTGTAGGTGCATTCATTCATTTCTGTCGGTCTTTATTTCTTATAAAAACTTTTTATACAGGTTCCAGAAAAAATAACTATGCTGGAACACAACCGCTTACGAAATATGGCCATCTCTCACCGTAAGGTGGAGCTCTCGTGTGAGGTAGTGGTTCGAGCGATCAATGCTCTAGACTTAAAGACACTAACTCAAGAGTATGTAGAAATACTGCTGCGAATGGTGCCAAATGAAAAAGAAGTAAGAATATTCTCATTTAATATTTGGTATCTGTCTAACTGTATTAAAATTAAAACTTAGAAAGATAAGTTACTGTTAATGGTAACATTAATTTTAATAACTTAGGCACAATAAATATTACGAATAACAAGAGTGTGTTAAAACTATTGTTCGAAAAATAACATAATTTCAATTAGTACTTGAAAAACTTAATTAGCTTAATTACTACAACTATAATTAGCTTTATTCTACTAAGCAGATAATTTAACATTGCATTTTAATGTGCATAGTCTGAAACCCTTAAAATTGGTTTAGTCTGTCACACCTTACTAAAAATAGTATGAATGGGCTAAAGGCATTTTTAATCATACTTTTTGTAGAGTTTGAAAACTGTTTTTAATTGTGTTGTTGTGAAAATAGTTTAAAATATTTTAGTTTCCTTAGTTCATTCTTCCACAAATAATTTGAAATCTTCCAAGGTAGTTCTAAACAGAAACTTATAAGATTAGTTTAGCAGTTAGATATTCTTCTTCTAAGTATTCATAATTTATCATTTATTTCACAAATTAATCACAGGCATTGGAGACGGTTACATGTCATTTCAGTTTTTTTTGTTTTGCTGTACCTCGTATGAAATCATTTATTTCAAGAAAAGTGTAGTAGTTTGATAATTTTGGACAAATATTATTATTCTCATAAAGTAACCAGATTTGCTTTTCAGTTTGCTTATGTTGTCAGGATATCCTGGCATCAGAACGAATGCTTAGGAATTTTAAACATATGTGTTTTCAGGTAAAAGCTTACAGAGAATATGAGAAACAAAGAAAGCCAGTGGATGACCTAACAGATGAAGACAAGTTTCTTTTGTCGGTAATTAAATTCACTCTTTCTAAAGTGTATGGTAATTAATATTTTTACACAGTTCTTTAATGATAAACCACAGTTTTCTGTGGTGGACTTTACTCACACATCACATTAAAAACTTTTTAGGTTATTGTTTTGTGTGTGGTGATGGAATATGTTAGAAGATTTTAAAGTTATTTTTGTGTATATCACTTTACATATTCACATAAAATATAAACTCCTCAGGAGGTACTAGTTGCATATCGGTGAATGTATATAAACTCCCCAGGAGGTACTAGTTGCATACCGGTGAATGTATATAAACTCCCCACGAGGTACTAGTTGCATACCGGTGAATGTATATAAACTCCCCAGGAGGTACTAGTTGCATACCGGTGAATGTATATAAACTCCCCAGGAGGTACTAGTTGCATACCGGTGAATGTATATAAACTCCCGA